CCCATTTTTATTCTTTTTATTTATTTTATTTTATTTTATTTATTCATTTACTAATTTTGGTTCTTTTCTTCTAAACCAAAAACACCAGCCGCCTTTTTCCACTATACCAAATATCCCCGATTTCTGTATTTGACAAATAATTTTAGGGTTCACATTGGGTCAACCCCTATTTATTTTAACTAACTTAGATCCAAATCTACCACTTTACCCACCAATAAATTTAGGAAATAAATAAATTGATAATACCACTATTAGTACTAATGTTCATAATTCATACGACTAGTTCATATTAGTGCATTAATAATAAAGAAATTGAAGTGTAATTATGAATGAAAGACATAATTGTGACTTACATTATTGGGGTATGTGGTTTAGTCTTACTATATAATGTTATTTTAGATCCACTTAAGAAAAAATAAAGTTATTTCTGATTCTTTTGTGAATATATCCCTAATCCCAATGTCATATATCCAAATCATCCACTTTGTAATTTATGTCTCATGCATGATTCTGCATTTTCTATATTCTAATATAAGGGTGCATATTACTCAGTATTCGAATAACCTAAATATATACTTGTATATGAATTACGGAGTAGTATTTATTTTAGTTGAATATTGAATTTCACACTCCTTACTTGAATTGTTCTAAACTTAACTTTCTTGTACTCGTATTACTTGAGCTTATCAGCACTTAAATGAACTTATTTTTTCCAAAATAATTTGAATAGGGTTCCATCAGTTCATCTTATTTTTACTTATTTCAGGTCTAATAAATTTATGTTGGTTTATATAAAGTTCTAAAAATAGGTGAGTAAAACACACCCTATAATTTTTTTAGGTAAAGAGAAGGACGACCCTGACCGTACCTCAACCCTCACGGTTTTTTTTTGTTCGATATTTGCTGGTCAGACACTTTGAGAGCGAGGGGAAAAGAGTAAGGAATCCTCACCTTTAAAGTGTCAATCCTTACCACTAGACCAGACTTAACATGGTAAAACACACCCTATAATTGAAGTGGATAGAAGTCATTGAACAAATCATAATAATCAACTCTAAATATGCCAATTTTAGGAAAATTAAGAAGACAAAGTTTCGAATCAAATTGCCAAATGAATATAACAAAGTATATAATAATCTCAAAGATATAGAAAGTGAGAAATGCGGAACAAACTCAACAAATAATTTCTTAGATCCAAACCCACCACTTTACCATTAAAATTAGGAAAAAAATTACACCACTGTTGTACCACTACTACTAATAATCATAATTGATACGAGTAATTCATAACAGTGTATAAACAATAAAGAATTAGAAGTGAAATAATGATTGATAGAACACCAAATGTGGCTTACATTATTGGGGTATGTGGTTTACTCTTATTATATGCTATTCTATATGCTTTTCTGAAAAGAATATGATTCCCTAATCCCAATGTCATATCCAAATCGTCTAGCTACTTTGTAATATGTGACTCGTAATTTTGCACTCACCTACGATATCCTCTAATAATAATAAGTTTAAGGAAAATAAATTGTATGATAAAGGACTAATAAGAGTTGCATAAATTTAATTTTGGGTGTGTTTCATTAAACGGATTTTCATGATAAACCGATTAGGGCCTTATAACCAGTATAAGCTCTAATAAAGTTTAAATAATTAATACACTATTTAGATTAGAAAACCCTTATATTTTGTATATTATAAGGCTACATATATAGAATTCACAAGAATCACAAACATTGTACATATTAATATACTTTGTGTTATAGATACCGCTTTATAGATGATATTCCAATTTTAAATAAGTCTAGATGACAAAGTTAATCACATATATTTGTCAAATAGTTAGGTGATCAATAAAATACACTCTTATACTTCGTAAATTATATCATTACATATATAGAATTACATTACTGTACATATTATACATGATTAACTTAAGCTTTACCGTATTATAGATGATATTCCAATTTTATATAAGTCTAGATAGATGACAAAGTTAATCACATACATTTGTCAAATTGAACAAATAAGAAATTCAAAGATACCAAAGAAGTAGAGATTAAGCTAGTGAGAAATGTGAGATCCTTGAAAATATGGTACTTATTGTTGAATTAAACATTTCCATATCTTTTAGTACCTAACTAGGTAGACCTAAGAAATACTTAAATTGAAAAAAAGAAAAAATACTTAAATTGTTTTCTGATTCATACAAAACAAATCAAATCAAAATGCACGTACACACTTATAAGAACAATTAACACAAACATCGAAATATATATCACAAATAATCGAGCATTCCGATCGATCTAATATAATTATTCAATTAATAAATTGATTGAGGAACTAGTACACCTAATCCTTAATCATGAAGATAATACTTACACATGGGCATTACTTATCAACAATATAATTTGTACTTGCACTACAAAAGATAATGATGCTTATTAAAATTAAATTATAATGAAAATATATATATTATGCACTTAATTTAAGCAAAATAGAAAACAACAAAAATAAAAAGGTGTAAAAAGTATGGGAATCAAAATTGGGGATTAGCGAAGTTCGGCTGGTTTACAGATTATGCTTATCTTCTATGCGGCTAAGCATATGGGATTAGTATTAGATAAGAGTAATGTATGAGGTAGGCATAATTATCGATTTTGTATTTGTATAGTATTTTATTTGGATTGAGAGTACTAGTGCTTAATTATTGGTGCCTCCTCTCTTAAAGGGCTAAAGGCTATGTTCGGCAATAATACCTTCTCTGTGTGGTATATGCTTCGCTAATTTATTTATTTTAAGTTTTTCACGTATTTCAAATCCAACAAGAATAATTGATGCTTAGTATTCCGTTCACTAATCAAGCAAAGTTTATTCTAGTTGGGGAAGTTTGAATCTCACAGCTACGAGCTTATTGGATAACATCCTTTCTATAAACACTTTGGGTGGAGATTCTATTACCCCTCCCCCCCCCCCCCCCCCCCCCCAACCCACTTCCAAAGTACTTAACCAACTAACCCGGCTTAAGAGAATCTGTGAGAGATTTCGGCCCGGTAAGACCCTTCTCCGTCCTTATCAACAAAAAAAATTCAATTTCATTTTACAATTACCAGGAGTTAGAAGTAAGATTTAAAGGTTATAATTATAGTTATATTGGAAATATATAATAAGTTCATAAATAATTTTGACAAAGATTAATTAGGGTTATATATGTTCAGTTTACAATTAAAAAAAGTTCCAATAATTGAAGAGAATTTTAAATAAGTGAAAAACAAGTTATACATGTTATATATCATGCCTTTAATCTTTTAGAAAAATTTCTCCAAATTAGTTTTTGGTGTAAAGTAGCTTTTGGTAGTTTGGAGAGGTAGATCATAGTACATTGTATTGATTCTTTTGCCGACCCAAGCTCTATAGTACTGTATCGATTCAACAATAGAAACACAAGTTTTTTAAGGTAATAATAAGACGATCTAACTCTATATAAAAGCTAAATCTAACCGGTTAAAAAATATATATGCCAAACATACTGTGAAAGTAATTAAAACTTTAGAACAATGTCTTGATGTATTGGCTAGATTCCAAAATTAGAGCCTGAATAAAACTTCTCGGATACCTCTTACGTAGCAGTATTGTATTAAGATATACTACAATTCCCTAATGTGCGTGTCTCTATTAATTAAGGTTCAAAATGATGTGGCTAATGACAACATCGATCGAATCTAATTAATTAACTAGGTTAGAATTTTGTGGGTTCACACCATTCATGTGATCAATTGATCCTAAACAGAGCATTAATGTTAATTAATTAATAAAGTTGAATTATATTGCTCCATAATCCATATATATAACATTTGTACCCAAAATAAAAATGTATTATAACATTAGAGATGAATTATTTGGCTCACTAGATGTAAGGAGAAGATCATAATTAATAAACAGAAATTAATGTTAACTAATTGAATTAAGGTGGATTAGAGTAACAATCTTTATACTATTAGACTAGTAGTGTCAAAATGAAGGTTGCTAATCTTGCTATTACAAACAAGGTTGAAATTGTTTGTGATTATTAGAGAAAATTTTTATTCAATACTCTTTCATGTATCTAAGTACATATATGGATATTATCTTAAAAATGAACATTAAATATTAAAAAAAAAAAAAAAAAACAAAAACAAAAACAAAAACAAGAACAAGAGTCAACTTGGCCAAATTCAATTCATATCCAATATGATTTCTATTATAAATGTTTAATTTCAAATCGAAATATTCAATTAGATGTAAACTATGATACTCGTATTGTTTACGTATGATGTCTGATTTGATCGACAATCGATCTCAACTTTAGTTCATCATTAATCCTCTCGTAATCTTAATAATAGAGTATAAATTAAGTTAAGACGTAAAATGAATAAATATAATTTACTCAATGGACGTGGTACCAATTATCATCATATACACAGAGTTAAGACATTCTGAATTTATTTATAAATTATAATTAAACACACAAAACTTAATACGCTTCACCTAGCCCACCAAAATTTACTCCTCAAATTCTTAAATAATTAAAAAATAATAAAATAAAAAAGTCAGTTCACCTGTTTACCTAGAATGCCTATAACTAGAACGAATCCGTGTATCAGAAGAGACCGACACAGCCGACCAACCTCCACGTCATCTTAACCTTCCCACGTTCTTTCCCCAACAAATCAACATCCTCCACGTGTCCTATAACGGCTAGTTTTTCCTTTTTTCTCTCTTTTTTTAAATTCTCTCCTAAAAAGACTTTTTTAGAAAACTGAAGAATTATAACCGCCATAGTAGAATTAATATCTTTTTTCCCGAAATTTCTCGGTTCTTCACCACTAAGTTATATATAAAAAAAAAAAAATTAAATTAGAAAAATAAAACACGTCTTTGTTTTTACTCATTTAAAAATAAAAATTAAATTCAGCATATCTTTTTCATTTTTCAAATATATATAAATAGTCCCCACTAATTTCAGCAAGTTAACAATTTTAAGTTGAACAACTCCACTTCAAATTTTCTCACTCTAAAATATATTACTTCTCTCTCTAAAAATCACCTTCAACAGCAAGCACAACTCACCAAGTATTTAGCAAGCAAATCAAGCGGTTACGAAATCTCTCAATAAATTCTCTCCTCTCATTTTTTGGTTCTCTCTCCTCATTTCTGGAATATTTTGGGCGAATTTCTGGAAATTTGATTTTGAAGCAGAGCAAAAATGGCGTTGACTAAGAGCTTGAGTTTCTCATTAGGAAGGAAGAGGATTTTGATTTCTAATGATAGCTGTGATTTGGAGCAATTTTGTGCTGATTTTGAGCAGTATTCTCCTATTACGAAACGACAGTGCTACTTTACTAGTAGTGGTGATGAAGATGACGAAACGTTTCGTTTGAAGAATGCGAATTCGAATTCGTTGCTTGAAGCTCTTCCTCAGGAGATTCTGGTGAGTTATTTCTGGAAAATTTCATGAAATTGATTGAAATTTGGGGAAATTTTATTGAAATTGATTAGGTTTTTTATTTGATTTTTTGCAGATTAAGATTGTTTGTGGTGTGAATCATGATGACCTAAAACAGCTTTTCTTAGTTTCTAAAACAATTCGCGATGCGGTGAGTAAATTCAATTCGATTTTTCATTTAAATTACATTTCATTTTCAATAGAAGTTCAATCAAATCAATAATTAATTCAATCAAATTAAGATATTGATTGGAAATTTGTTCGATTATTGTTACAGGCGATTATCGCGAAAAAATCGCATTTCGAATTCACAACTCCGTTGAAGACGAAAGCATTTAGAAATTCAATTGATTTGGTGAATAGTCCATTAGATTTGGAAGAAATTGAAGCTCCAAATGCGCCGAAACAAGCTCGAAAGATGAATCGACCTCGAATTAGTAAGAAAAGATTGAGTGACATTTCCGTCGCTTTGTTCTCCGACAAAGGAGAAGATGAACAGAGGTGGTCTAGAAGGAGTTTATTCATGGAAACCGACACTTAGGTTTGATTATTTTTTTTGTTTTATGGTTTGATTTAATTGAAGTTTAGGTTTTTGTTTTTTTACTGTAAATTATGAGGCTATTTTATTAATTTTAAATTTGTAGAAGTGAGGATTTAATGAGTTAGGCAAGCCATTATTAGGTTCTTATTCATTTTTGTTCTTCAATTCTTCCATTGAAGATAGTAGTGGCTTGTCTTTCTTTGTAACAATAAGTGTTCTGTAATTGTAACTATGGAAATTTGGTGTAAATAGAAAAATGCGGTTTTATTTATTTATGAAGCAGTAAATTTGAGAGTTGGTTATTTTGTTGGAGTAACTTTTTAGTTGCATAACTTGCATTAGTATCTATGGTTGGATTTTGTGTGAGTTTTTAATTTACCACACCATACCATTTTTTGCCATTATTAATTCTTCATATGTCAAGACAGTTTTTATTGTGGCATGTTTATAAGGCGACTTGTTGAGAAATATACAAGGGTTATGTTTGGATTTGCATCAAGTACCATTTTCAGGCGCGTGTAGTGATACAAGACCATTACATATACTAGGAGTCTAGAACCTATGATTAAATTTGATACGAATATGATTTGTCAATTATTTCACCATTTTTTGGCATGAATAATTCATATGTTTTAATGGTTTAATCACTACGTACCATTATAAGGTGACATTTTTAAAGAAATGAGAATAATGAGATACATTTCGCATGTTTGTGGTTCAATATGGTTACATACTAGTATACTACCTATGGTAAGGTTTGATTTGAGTTTTTTAGTTGTCCATTACTACACCATTTCTCGGCACGTGTAATTCTTGTATTAGATGACTTCAACATAATAATATATTGTTTAAATATTATCTATGATTTGGTTTGGTGTGATTTGTATATCTTTTTTTTTTTTTATAATTATCCATTACCACACCATTTCCTGATCCGACACATATACGTAATTATTATGTTAGATGGTTTTATTGTTACACATTACTCGTTACAACTTACAATTTATAAGGTGACTTCTTTCATTAGAAATTATTCAAATGAATCACATTTTCCTCCCTTGTGTGGTATGAAACCGTTACATAATTTACATTCCAGAATTTACGGATTTACGGACGAGTGTTAAAGAAAGTAAGACTAAACATTGAATTTATGCCGCAAACAATGGTTGTACAAACACCATAATGTGTAACAACAAATACAACCAATCATTTGATAGCTGGTATGACAGTATATTGACAGCCAACCCATTACTTTAGATCTGTAAAAAACATTATGTTTCATAAATAATGTTACATAGGATTCTTAATGGAGGCGGTGTATTCCTACAAAAATATTGTGACATTTTTGTAAATTAATTAACTTAAAACATAGATCACAGAAACATAATAAAGATTTTTTTTAATAAATTATGTAGTATTTATGTCTCTAATTTTGCCTCTTGTCCAAAAATATAAGGGAATCCTCATGTTAATTGAAACAAATTAAGAAACAATATGATTTTTTTTATGGGTTATTTAAGATTTGTCAGATTAATTAGACATAAGTGTAAGATTTTCTACCAGGACATGTGCCTCCTTGTGGGAGGGCAAAGAAAGGCAGACAAATGACAATATATCTAATCATTCTTCACATAATTAAGAGTTGAAAATTATAGGAAAATACATAAAAATAGAAAGTTTTCTACTAAAATTGCGGGAGATTCTGTACCTCTTTTACATAATGGATAGGCATTTTATTATAAGCATAGAGATCATATCCTAAAGTCATGGGATTCCTTTGATAGAATTGTATGAAAAGGAATCTTAAGAGTGATGATGTCTAGTGTTTGGGGTATTAGGGTTTGCAATGCCGTCTTTTTTTTTTCCTTTGATGAAAGCATTTTTGAGGTATGGGTTGTATAGCCGATATATTCGAAATAGTAAGAACAACACTTCTTCTGTTCTTTTTTACTTGACCTATTTCTTTAATCACGCTTGTCAATGCAAAATTTTAACGATCAATAACTTTAATTCTCCATAAGGAAAAATTATTAAAGTTATATATTATGATAATACTTCTTGAAATGAATTCAGAACGATCCCACATAAATATGTATTTCCTTACATATTATTCACAAAAGATGGTAAAAAAAAGGTGGTGAATAGTGTAAATGTCAAAGCGGGTCAAGTAAAAAAAAACGGAGGAAATATATGTTACTAATATGGCAATATGGTTAGTTGCTTTATAAAAGAGTGAAATATACAATTATTTTTATTCACTTTAATTGCTACACTCTGATAAAAACAAAACTCTCACACCTTTAGTCAAAGTGTTGCAACTAAAAGTTAACGAAGGAAGTATATAAGCTTGTTGGTAATCTTCAACTTAGAAATATTATTTTAAATAAAATATTAAACTAACAATTTCATTAGAGATAAAATGTTTTAGTTGGCTCGTGTTTGTATTAAATGACTTATTATTGAGTCCCATCACTTGGCATACTTGTCAAGGCTATCACTAGCAATTTTGATTAATGCCTCTAGACTAAGATCCTCCTCCTAAATGGCCATACAATTGGTGAAAACATTTAGATGACTACCCCCTTAGATTTTTTTTTTTTTTTTTTGGTTTGACATATGATGCATAATGGTCTCCCTACCTAATGATGTGAATCGAGTTCCCTTTCTTATAACTATCTTTATTGCTTTATTTAGGTACTCTCTTGATTTTACTTTACTCTTAAAGTAGGGGTTTTACAAGTGAGTTTTAATAATATTTTTATTATTTTCTTAGTAGTAGTTATGGGGCCTTGGGCTTCCGAAGTTGTGTTGATTAGTTAGTGGACTATCTTGGTTCATTAATTAATTATTAGGACTTTTATCTAATTTGTTTGCGGAGTAAGTAGGATAGATTTATTTTTCCTATATATACTAGTTGTGTGTCAATTATTTTAATAGGATGTTTTACGAATTAAAAGTTGAGATTATTTTTGCTTGAAGAGAATTTTGTTAAGGTTCAAATTAGTTGTTAACTAGGGTTTTGGGATCGTTACTCCTAAGATCAAACTTAGAAGTCGTTGCCTTCTAAGACTATCTTTCAAATTTCCACCATTAAAATCACTCAAATCCTTCCATTAAATATAAACCGTCAAAAATACGCATCACTTAACATAATCTACAATAACACAACCTTAATGTGCTTTAAATAGCCTTGGCTAGGATTAAACTTATAGCTACATGAAAGCTTTTGTTTGACAAATGATACCTAGCTAATGGTCTCCCTATTGAACACAACCTACAAAAACAAAACCTTAATGTACTCATGTATATCGATTTTCGCTCATTTTGTAACAAGCACAAAGAATAAAGACTCAAAAAAGCCCTACATAATAATACATTGACATGTATATAAAGAAATTAATTAATCGAACGGTGGACTATCTTATACTAGCTCACGGCTACATAGTTTTTTGCACCGGAAATCTTAAACTTTAGCAATATCGTTACATTAATAATCTTGGATGTCTTGAGAACTCTTGATTAATCGAGTTTTAGCTACATAAAATTGAAAAAAAGGTTGCCTAGATGTTTGTATCTCTACTTTACTTCTTCGAGCTTAGCCAATTAAATTACATGGCATTTAACAACAAACAAGTAGCTACTCCCAATTCCCTATGCAATCGGAATCACTTCATAGGCACAGCCACCGAATACTAGTATCCACGAGAAACCGCCTAGAAAGAGGTATTATATTGTCCACAACTATATTTTATCCCCTTCTTTTGAAATGCTTGGCCTTTAAACAAAACTTATGCATGCTAGACATTTATTAGTTTTGTTGTTTATACGTTTACACTTCGATTATATTCCAAGAAGTGCTTGATTGTAATTGACAAGAATTTCCCTTATAACCATAACGTTTTAGATAACGAACATGATCCCTAGAAATTGACTTGGGGGGTTTTTGGTTCATCAAGTTGGAAAGAATTGGTATGAAATCTCATACTAGAGAGGTATAGATTATAAAACCCATACTAGTCCAAAGTTGTTTGGTTTTATTGTTGGAATGGATTATATCCTTCATTAGTAGAATGGATTGTGAATCTTAGAGGGAGGGGTGGGTATGGGATTCCATTGGTATGGGGGAGAGTTAAAATCCCTTGGGTATGAGATTTCATTACTAAAAACCTCAACCAAACAAAAAACTAGATGGAATGGATTCTAATTCCATTCCAAATGATCCAACCAAACGACCCCTAATGTGTTTAAGCTAACTTACCTATAAGACGTATCGATTTAATAGGGCTATTTTTTTTTCTTTTTTTTTCTTTTCAAGAATAATCTATGTTCAATTACACGAGAGAATGTGTGTTCGTGTTAGACACCAAGATTTGGGGTTGAAAGTTTAAACCGGGGCTATGTACACATATAGTACACGTGAACACGTCAAAACATTGAATAAGCAAGTAGAACATGAGGTTGCTTCATATTAAAAAAAAAAAAAAGAACATGAGGTTGCCAATACTTTAGCCCCCTTTTTTTTTCACCCTCATTGCTTTCTAATGTTTTTTTCCTTACTTAAAAAAAAAAAAAAAAAAAAAAAACCATGAGTCATATAATGGGCTTTTATTAGTGGGTGGTGGGCCATTTCATTTTATCATTTATTGGGCAATAAGTCTTAGCTGCACCACTGTCTATAAAATGAACATGTAGTAAAAAATAATGAACACGTAAAAATAAATGAACATTCAGTAATAAAAAAAAAACACAAAAAAAAAAACATTTAGTACTTAAAAAGCGAATATGTTAAAAAAATGATAATTTAGTATTAAAAATAAACATGATAACCATAAAATTGCTGGGCCATGACCTTAAAAATGAACACTTAGTGTAAAAATAATTATGAACACGAAAATAATTATGAACACGTAAAAAAAAAATTAAAATAAATAAAAAATAATTTATTAATTAAAAAAAAAAATGAGCATGTCAAAAATAATTATGAACATTAGTATTTTAAAAGTGAACATTTATCATACAATAATAGAATAGCTAGATCACACCTAATAAAATGAACATTTCATAAAAATATATGAACATATTAAAGAAAATGTACATTTAGTATAAAAAAAATGAACACGTGAAAAAAAATTATAAACATTTAGTATATTAAAATGAACATGATTTTCTTATATTCATATAAATTCAAATTCATTGTATATAATTATTAACGAAAAATAAAGATAAAATAAGTCACTAAATTTGTTCACTTTTTATATACTAAATGTTTATTTTTATTGTACTAAATGTTCATTTTGTACTAAACGTTCAATTTTAAAGTATACCGTGTTCATTTTTTTTTTCCAAAAATTATACACAAATATTAGCAACTCAATTAAAAAAAAATTGAAATTCATAATAACAAACATATTAAAGATGCAGCAACTCAATAATTCATCACAAAAACTCATTAATTAAATTAATATTCATAAAAATTCAAAAATTCAGTTGAAATAGTCAAATTCACTAGATTCATCAAAAATCAATTGAAATTCATCAAATTGAAAAATCTAGAAAAATCAATTACAAATTCAGCCCAAATCTAACCTAATTAAAACTAATTAAAAATCAACATTATAAAAACTAACCTGCATTGATGGTCTCTTTTGAATAACAACCAAATCCATAATAATGTAGAAAACAAAAGAAAAAGAAAATGGTGATGGTCGCGACGAAGATGATGGACTACAATGGTGAGGAATTGGAGAATATCCAACGTAGGAGGATAAAGAAGTTTAAAGATTGAAGGAAAGTGAGGTAAGAAAGAAAATTTACTTATAAGGAATGGAGAAAAAAAAAAAGGAGAGAGAAAATTTTGAATGGATAAGAAAACAGAGAGACAAAATTAATGGAGGTAAAGAAGAAGAAGAGAGAGAGGTAAATATAAGGAAGGGAGAAAAAACGTATGTTCGTTTTTGAAGTACTATAGGTTCATATATATATATGTTGCAGCTAGCTTAGCTGTACAAGTGTGTAGCTAAGAATTTGTGTCCATGTAATAGGCTGTTATTAGTGGGCCAACTTCATTCTATCATTTATTGGGCATATAATGGGCTGTAATGAGGCATATATTGGGCGGGCTGAGATGTGATATAGTCTGATTATCTAGGCTTGTTGGAGAAGGGACCTTGGGCTTTATATGATGCAGCAGACCTAATGGCAGATTTGTGTGTATAATGGTTACTCAGCTTATTCTGATAATTACTCTGCCCATCCCTTTTCAAATGCTCCATTGAGCAATGTTCAATGTCTTAGAAATATTAGTTTCATTTAATAACTTTCCTTATTTGGTACTTTCTCCGTTCTTTTTTACTTGACCCGCTTTGACTTTTACACTATTCAGCACCCCTCCTTTGACCTTCTTTTATGAGTAATATATAAGTCAAAACATATTCATGAGGGATCTTTTAAATTCGTCTCAATAAGTACTATCATAATATATAACTTTTATAATTTTTACTTATGGAGAATGAAAATTATTAATCGTTGTCAAGTAAAAAAGAACGGAGGAAGTATTAATTTAGGAATACATGACAAAATCAGGCGCAAATCAGTGTAATTAATGTTATATCTTCATTTGTTTTTTTTTCCATTTTTAGCTTTTTATAGGTTACCCTATGGACTGTGTATAACATTTTCGTTTTTACAAAAGGAACTACTTTTAAAAAACTATACAATCATAGTTGCTAATTACTAGTAATATGGAGTAAATATACAGTAGTTGCAAATCTTGATGAAATTCAATGTTAATCAAGGAGTTATCTCGAATGACCTTTACAAATACCCGTTTAATATAAGTTTAAATCGATATAAAATGGGTTAATTTGATTGCTCCATAGAGCAAGGTTCAATTCACAAGAAGATTTCTTAATGTTAAAAGTTACTTCCAATATATTCGTGTAATTGTTTGTCCTAAAACTGTATTGTCATAATTGTTAACTATGAGTAATACGGAGCAAATAGCCAAATATGCAATCCCAAATCTTGATGTTATGTTGATTAAGGAGTTATTTCAAACGTCCTTTACATACACCTTTTGTATACAAGCTCACATCGATATTAAAAAAAATAATTGTGAATGAGTAAATAAAATTGGATTGCTTCACAAAGCCAAGCTCAATTGACAAGGTGATTTTTGAATGCGAAAAGTTATTTTCAATGTATATTCGTGTAATTGCTTATCCTAATTTTTTTTTCAAATAATAAAAAAAAGGCAAAAGCTAACGAGCATCCTCGGAACGTTAGATAAGATAATTAAATATGAAAATATTAAAATAAAATTAACATTAATTATATCGATGGACGCGTAATTTTAAAAAGCATTTTAAACTTAATACTATTTTAACTAATATGTTAATTAGTTATGGAACGTCCCGATGCATTGTCAGCAAAATCCATGAAAAACATAATAATTCGGTAAGTCGGTTAAGAGTCTCACTCTTTCAACTCCTTTCCCCTTTTCGTTCATTCCATTTCATACAGTAAAAATTAAACTCCGTACTAGTCGTACATTTCTTTGGCTAATAAAGTAGAATTCTTTGATGGCGACGATGAAGCGTGAAAATCCAACAGCAAACGAACAACAACAACCCCTTTCTAAGAGATTCAAGAACGATGTTCGTGTTGTCCTCAATCCAGCCGACTGTGATTTGGGTAATTTTTACCTCTTTCTCAACTCCATAATTCTTTGATTCTGTATATTTTAATGTATTTTTTTAATAATTTGTATGAAATCCTTGTTTTTTATTTGGAATTAATTTTAAATTTTGCCCCCAAAATTCCATGTATTATTTTAAATTAATTTTTGGGAATTTAGTGTTTATTTGTTTGGCTTTAACCCTTGATTTCCCCTGAAAATCCCAAGTATTGATTTGAACTTTTTCTGGGTTTTTGATCAATTTTTAGTTAAAGAACATTATGCTAAAAGAATTTGATTTAGTAGTTGGACCTCTGAAAATTATGTTGATTCTGTTACAATCTTTTCTTATTCGATGTTGAATTGAAGTTGAGATAGGAAATGTAAAAGTGTAAAAATGTAAAATGATACGGAGTACTAGTAGAGTATGGAAAAGGTGCACAGTAGAATTATATTTGGCTTTAGATAAGTTATATTGTGTAGTAGAACTAAATTTGTACGAAGTTTTTTGAGGGAGGCGCTTTGCACTTGTCTTTAGAGTGTGCACTGTACCTTATGAGGGCGCCATCGATGGCTCGGGTAGGGATTTTTTCTTTGAGAAGGGGTGTTTCCGTGCAAGATTTTTCGTCGTATAGATGCTTCATTGCATAAAGTGGCTTCATAGTATGGAGATGGTGCTGATATCTAGAGGCTGATTTATGTATGATCTTTATTGCCTATTGATGGAGAGTTTTTGGTAATATGGTTGATTGTTTTGTGTATGAGGAAGTGGTTTTAAGTGTACAAACAAATGATGGCTTGAGTTGTCAAAGTGTGGCACTGTTCATGTAAGGGTTGGATGTTTTTGAGGATCATTATTATTCATTGATTTGGTGATGAGTCATAGACATCCTTTCTTGAAAAAAGCTTATTTGTGTTTATTAGTTACATGATTTATTGTTTTTGCCAAAGGCTTGTAGATTAGTGTGGGAAAGAGTTGATTTTGCTTTGAAGTTGGAGAGGGGCATTGTTTTCGAGGCACCTTACAAGCTGGGTTCATGACGGAATTTCCCAACCTACTTAGATATAGGAGATTGTGAAGCTATGTGACAAAAAGGGTAGAATCATAATCTATATAGTTAAGAGACTGTTGTTACTTGTTGCATAGATGAAGCAGCTTGAAACATCTCGTCTCGTAGAGGAGAATTTAAGTGAATTAGGTTATCAGGCTCTTAACATTATTACATTACTGTGGGGGTGGGTAAAGTACACCAGCCTAGTCCTTCAAATGAAGTTGCCATAAAACTGCTAATTTTAGCTTAGAATATTTTGTTGGTGTCTTGGTTAGATCCTTGCTGAAAACATCTGGTTTATTAGCAATTGTTGATCAGATCGGAGAAATGATCTCATGATGCTTTTAGAATCCTTCCACTACCAATGTAGTCTTGGGGTCTGGTGTATTTGCTATTTTGCTGTTGCTTGCTAATCTTGTGTTGGAGTGATATATCATGGAATTGGTGAAGAGCATAATTTTATAACCTGGTGAGAATCTCATGTGTTGGCTAAGTTAAAGAAATGTGATCTTGTAAGAGAAAAAATGGGGATGGATGCACTGATTTCATTAGATTTATATCCTAATGTTTCATTACCTACATACGAGCTTTGAAACATTGTGTTTATTTTCTATGTGTGAAATAATGTAATATTCAATATTACCCTTATATTCTAGATGCATAAACGATGTCTCATGACTGTATGTACAATGCTTAATGGAAGAATTTTTGTTTTTATCTAATTGACTGATTTCAGAAGATTGCGCTTTTTCTCCATACTTTCTTGGCTTTATGTTGTCTACTGGTTCATAAGTATGTTTGCTGTTGATGAGGCCTTACATTTTTTTTCTTCCAGCTTTCAACATTGAAGCTGATGGCCTCACAGGGCATGCTCTTTACGAGCAGGGATTTGCTTATTGTTGGTCTGGTGCTCGGGGAAATATCGGAATTACTGGAGGGAAGTACTATTTTGGATGCAGAATCATCTCTGATCAGCCTGTGATAATGGAAGAAACTCCTCTTGACCAACATGTTTCTCGCATTGGCGTTTCAAGAGGTGATGATCCTGTTGGAAACCTTGGTGAAACTAAAGGTAGTTTTGGGTACGGTGGAACTGGGAAATTCTCAACTAATGCCAAGTTTGTGGATTATGGTGAGAGGTTTGGCATTGGTGATACTATTACTTGCTTAGTGGATCTTGAAAGTAAACCTTGTGCTTCAGTGGAGTTCTCCAAAAATGGGAAATGGTTAGGTATTGCAAAGTATCTTGATGTAGACCCTAAAGGTCTTGGAGTGGTTTCTCTAACTGGAAATTTACCGTGGGAATCAGCCCTCTTCCCTCATGTTCTGCTGAAAAATACTGTGGTTAAGATGCAATTTAGCACAGAAGACGGACTAGTTCCTGAGGAAGGGTACAAGCCATGGGCCTCTGCTGTGAACGATGGAAATGCAGTAATTGGACCTGCTTTCTCCGACTCTCAAGCTTGTGAGGTGATAATGATGGTTGGATTACCTGCTTCAGGAAAGACTACCTGGGCAGAAAAATGGGTGAAAGAACATCCAGAAAAACGTTACATTTTGCTTGGAACAAACTTGTACCTTGATCAGATGAAGGTTCATTTGTTGTTTCTTTTACTTTTTGAATTTATCTCTTTTTCCATAATTTTTGTTTTAATGCTTGAATAACATAATATCATGCCGCAGGTTCCAGGTTTACAGCGAAAGTCCAATTATGGTGAACGCTTTGATCGGTTAATGGATCGGGCATCTGGAATTTTAAACACTCTATTGTCAAGGGCATCTAAAGTAACTAGGAACTACATCATTGATCAAACTAATGTTTACATGAGTGCTCGAAGGCGGAAATTGAAGCCATTTGCTAACTTCCACAAGGTATATATAGTCAATTTTTTTAGGCAATTGATGTATTTTGTTCTTCTTCCAACTTGTTAATTTTCTTTTTTATCAAATAGATTGCTGTAGTTGTCTTCCCAAGACAAGAAGAGTTAAAGTTACGTGATGAAAAAAGATTTAAAGACATGGGTAAGGAAGTACCTCCTGAAGCAGTTAATGAGATGTTAGGTATGCCTATTTCTATTCATGTTGATTATTTTTATTCTTTCCCTTTATATATGAGATGTAAACTTTGTGATCCCTCTTTTTCATTTTGGCAGCTAATCTTGTTTTGCCCATGAGCAAAGACATGCTTCATACAGAAGAGTATTTTGATGAGGTAAATGTGCATGCTGTACTTGGTGTGGATATTGAAGCTAATTGTAGCTGTATTAATGGTCAATTTAACCCTTTGGTGTTTGGTAAATGGCCAAGTATTTGCATAATGCCATAATGTACTTTATAATATTCAAGAATCTACACTGCTTTATCTTATTTTTAATGATGATATTACGGTACTAGGTCATCTTCACAGAGCTTAGTAGGAGAGAGGCACAGAAGCAGCTTGATGAGATGAAGCGTGCCCTTATATTGTCGTGTAGCATGAAGTCCAAGGGTGATCATTCATCATATTCCCATGAAAGTTCTGTCCATTCAGATTCTAGGTTGTCAGCCTGTGATCCTGGACAACCCTACTCACAATATTCAAGCCCCTCGTTGGGATTTCAAACAGGTATTTTACTTCACTCGATTGTGATTTAATTGACATACTCTATACGTTTTTCTTTTCCTCCATTTTCATCATAGTGACATGATTTGTTTTCATGGATTTTGCTCCATTTAAGATTTTGGGACAGGCTCTTGGATTGGTCCTCCTGGACATGCTTCGCTGCCAAACCCTGCCAACGTGAGTTCAAAGGCCTGGATCATGCTAAACAAGTCTTTACTCTGATTTTCTAATTTATGCTCGAGTTGGAAACTAACCTAATTTTTCCTTAATACAGGCAATTAAAGGATATACAGGGGTGGAGCATTCTGTCGCATTAGAGGCAATGCAGCCTCGTCCTTACAACAATGTGAGTAGAGAGGTTCATGCATCTGTGGGTCTTCTTTTCTTTTATATTTTTCAATTCATGGTTTGGCTTTATTTGAGGTGGTTGGGGGTTCCTTTAGTGTTTGGGATAGCGTCTAATATGAGTTCCGTTCTAACTATACATACATCTTTTTAGCTTCCTATCATTGATTTTGTGTTCTGCCTTACTAGTCCATGTTACTGGAAGAACACTTTTATGAAGGATAGGCTTTTCATTGTGGAAACTAACTTTGAAACTTTGGAAACCACTTGCTGGAATATGACCCTCTAACTTGTAAAATATTCTCTCTTGAATTTTTATAGTAGTTATCACCTTTTTTCCCCTAAGTAACCCAAACGTGCCCAAAATTTATTACATGTTTTATTGACTAAATGCATAATTACCTGTGTGCATTTATGATTATTTCTGTGAATTTTCCACATTTCTTACCCACCCAAAAAATATATGTATTTTTGTTACCTGTATGTATGCCAATTTCGACTCTGCAACAATATATAAAAATGATATTCACTGTTGATGCAGGTAAATACCAGATATGAAAGCCCTGGATTTTCTGGCAGAATAGAAGCACCAGCAGGGTCCTACTCCTTTCCTGGAAGTTTGAATCCAATGCCTCCCAGGGATTGTTATCCTGGGACATATTCAAGTTACAGCAATCCTGGTCTTGAGGATGGAGGTCCCAGAACATACTCAAGTTATGGCAATCCTATTCCTGGGAATAATTACACTCAGCGTGACAGTGAAAACTATTTGTATGATCCTCATAGAACACATGAATCTGCCTACTCTTATGGAACCGGATATGGAAATAATGCAGAAGCAGCAATATTAGCTTACCAACCTAATGGTTAGATTCCTCCTCCTCTAGTCCTCTACTATGTTATTGATGTTTTACCTTGCACCACCACTTTTTTCACCAGTGAGATAAGGATCTGTGATTTCCATTGCTAATTCTGTAAATCAATTCTGTTATTGTATGAGATACTTGGCTCTTGAAGGACTATTTACATCACTGTTATACTCATTTAAACTTGTAAATTACCATAGTTGCCCGCAGCCTGTTATTTAGCAAAGCGTAGATTATCATGCAACCAAATCTGGGAGGTGAAAACACCTAGAAATTAAAAAGATCAAATTATTTGGGAAAGTCAGGGATTCCAGAATTCTTGCATGTAATTATCATTGTGGACCTATGTGATTATCTCAGCCTTTAGGCAACTCAGGCCCTTAGCAGTGAAAAAGGTAGACATGTTATTTTCAGCATTGAACTTGAATTGACTATGTTTATTATATATATCTATATTTGCAGTTTCGCGAACCCCATATTCAAGGCCTCAGGGAAGTTACCCTGCTGATGTGCGGCATCCTGGATCTGCACTTTACCATCTTCCTGATTCTCGGGAATCGAGATAATACTTAATTTTGCAGATCATGGAGACTGATGTGTAAATGTTGTGTGGATAAGTCTTTTTAACTCTTTACTGTGGCCTGTGGGTACTATTAGCTTATGCGCCATTTGATCCTTTTTGTTCTTCCTACTTTGACCTTTTTTGTCTCGCAAAAAGATTTCAAGTGGAAAGAACAAAAAGGATCCGCTGTAGTATTGTAATTTGTTAGTGACATATCTTGCCTAGTATTAATTGTATAGAGTCTGAATGTTTGTTACACAATTTTATTATAGTCCCATAATAATAGTTGATTTTTCCGTACAGTCCCCATTGAAATCTTAGTAAGATAGGCCAGGGTTTATTACAATCTTTGGGGTTTTCAATGTGGACTAACACTATGTTTGGATAGAGAGAAATGGAGGGGAAAGAAGAGAAGAGAAAAGGAAGGATGCATCTCCTTTGTTTGGATACCTAATGTACGGAGGGAATGGGAGGGAATTGGGAGGATCCATTTCCCTTCCCCTTTTAATAAACCAAATCCCTCCATTGTTGGAGAGATTTGGAAGGAATATGGAAGGTCACCTTCTCCCTCCCCTCACCTCTCTTTACCTTCCCTCTTTTTCTTTCACCTTCCTTTCCCTCCCCTATGGTTATCCAAACATAGTGTAAGGGTTTGTTTAACCAAGCTTTTAGAAGATACTCTGTAATGTCTATTTCCTCGAAGTTCTCCAAAAACTATTTCTATAGAAAGTAGTACTATAATTTTTTTTTAAAGTTGGTTTACCCATTGTGTATAACGTACTCATTTCTTCCCCTATTGTTTGCTTCATAGTCATATTTTAATTTTTGTAAGTTATTGGTTGACTAGATTTGATGAGGTCGGGAGAAAGGTAGTTGAACCTAAAATATAGTTTTGTACGTGAAAATATAATTGTGATCTTAATGGACATATATGGTATAGAACAATATTTTAGGGATAACCTTGTAAAAAAAATATTTGGCAATCTTTAAAAGACGAGGGAGTATAAAGTTAAGGCAGCCATTAAATTAGTTTGAATAACATCAGCAATTTTTTGGTGCAGCAGGCCACACCGTGTGGCCCAAGTTATTTTGTTAGGGGTTACCCAAGTTATTCAGTCAGGGGTTACTCGAGTTACTCAGTCAGGGATTACTTGAGGGGTTCGGACAGAAGTTACTCGAGGGGTTCACTCGCTCAAGGGTTATTTGAGGGGTTACTCGGTCAGGGGTTACTCGAGTTACTCGAGTTACTCAGTTAGGGGTTACTCGATCATGGGTTACTCAAGTTACTCGGTCATGGGTTACTCGAGTTACGAGTTATTTAAGGAGTTCGGTTAGGGGTTACTCGAGTAATTCAGTTAGGGTTTACTTAAGGAGTTCGGTCAGAGGTTACTCGGTCAGGGATTACTTGAGGGTTCAGTCAGGGGTTACTTGAGGGGTTACTCGGTTAGGGGTTACTCGAGGGGCTACTCGGTTAGGGGTTACTCGAGGGGTTACTCGGTTAGGGGTTACTCGGTCAAGAGTAACTTAAGTAACCCCTAACCGAGTAACTCGAATAATCCTGGCAACTCGAGTAACCTCTGACCGAGAAACTCGAGTAACCCCGACAACTCGAGTAACCCCTGACCGAGTAAGTCGAGTAACCCCTGTTGCACGGTACAGTAGGCTGCATACAAAAAATTGTGTAATAACATATGTGCAATCGTGTACATAGTTATTTCCATGTAATCTTGAATAACATATTATACAAAAGAAACCATAGAAGAACTTCCTTACAGTTCCCTATAGAACTCAAAATGAATTTTCAGAATCTAATCATGATGGTGAAACATATGCTTAAACCCACACCCTAAATTAGAAACTTTTCCCTAACTCCAACTCCACATTTATGTGGTCAATCAACAGTCTTGATTTATTCGTTACTATCTAAACTCTAGATTTAAGTACAAACTTCCTAAAACCCAAGCATAAAATTACTTTATATTTCTTGGAAATAAAGCTCTTTTTGATGGTAGCTCAAATGTGGTTGACCCATTATTATGTTTCTTCCTAGTTCCTACATCAGCAAATTGTACACCCAAAGTTCTTAGTAGACCCTATGTTTTGTTTAAAGTATTACGCTTGTTCATATCGATGCTTTTAAATTAACCATAGTATTAACCTTGCTATTTTTTCTTATAATTTTTTATTGTTTCATTAGCTTTCTTAACATTTTATTAAGGAGTAGTAGAGTATTCTATATAGTAAATTCAGCTCAACCTCTTAAAAAATTTGTATCGATCAAGATGTAACACTTGAAAAAAATAAATAAACTTAATACAAATTTTTTACAAAAAATTAAAGAAAAAGCTGCTTTTTGTATCTTTGCTGAGCTTTTCTCTCCTTTTCAAAGTTATAACCTTTTGAATGAAAATACAATAAAAATGGTCACTTAAAAGAAGAATGAAGACACCTAATTTTCCATACGTAGGGAGGCCCAACCACGTGATTGGTTTTGGTTGGAAGAACTAATACATCATATTATATCTACCTCTTTTCTTTTTCATCTTTCTATTTCTATCTATTGCATGCATCATGTTTGTTTATATAATTTTTATTATAGAGTATATAATATATATAGTGCGTTAATTTTTATATTATCGACCCAACTATATGTCTTATTAATTGATGATTGACGTTGTATTATTTTGTTAAGATTACAAGTTTACATCTGTTGGAACTCTGGCCAAACACTATGTCATTACAATAATAGTATAATACAGTAGTTAATTACAACGTAAAAAATTCATTCTTCTAATTATAAAATTACGTATTACATACTCCATATAAAAAAATATTACCACAAATCATTTGCTTTTAATGTTTGTAATAATTGTGATGATGATATTTAAACTATGGAGTAGTGGTTATACTAAATCAAAACTGAGATAGTATATACAAAGTACGAAATGTAAATTTTCATTAGGTTTTCTTGAAGTTTTGTTAAATAAACTAATCACCAGGAATCTTTAGGTGTAACCAAAGTTGCAAATGAAACAAAGACCATATGCCAATGGCTTGGAGGACATAAATAGGATTCTATAATAGTTTGCTTCGTGCAAGTTTTAGCACATAAGGAATTAGGGTTAATTGCAAATTATATTGCTTTCTCAATCTACTTCATGCGGACACACTATGATATCGACCCATTATTTTTACTAGATAGCCTTTGTTTTTTTTCCCTAGAAAATTAGATCAAACACTTTTCGAACTTGATCTCCAGAATAGATCTCTTTACTCTAATACCAAGATCAAATTCTTCAGATATTAGATGTATCTAATTTCATCCTATATCTTACCAAACGATGATCAACATAATTAATTTGCCATTCCTTTCAATAAATTCATCATATATACCCAATGCATATATAGATGTACTTGTCTCTGAATCGGAGAAATTGAGTGATTGACCATAACGTACTATCTACCCAATTAACTTCATGTCTTATTTATTGATCATTTACGGAGTATTATTGTTTTGCGAAGACTCAAACATGTGTTCAACATTTGGTCAAATACTCAATATTGCCAAAATAGTTGCTACTTGCTAGCACTTCTATCTCAAAGCATGTACTTGTCACTTTCGCTTTTCATTATTGATTAAAATTTTATGATGAGAGTAAGGGATAGTTTAGTTATTAAAGTTTCTCTCCCAGTTTCAGGGATCTTGGGACTGATTTCATCAATCTATCCTTGTGACTCTCTAAACACTAAAAAAAAGTTATTATCTTCTTCTCAAACTATATACAAGTACATCTTTTTAATTTTGAAGATCAAGTTTTCTAAAAATAATGTATCAAACTCAAAAAATTTAACTGTATATTCTCATTTTTTTTTTTAAACGGTAAGATACGAGGGATGACCCCCCTACTAACCATCCCTCCATCTCCTAAATCCTAATTGTATATTCTCATTAGTTAGAGAATTTAAAATCAAGTTGAATCTTGTTAAATTAGTCTCCATAAGCATTTTTAACATTGGTACCTTCTACAATATGTAACAAATTAGTGTATTGAAGACCATGTTAAATAAGTGGTGCAACTGTTTAGTAGCAGGCAAGGCCGTAAAGTATTACAATTCTGATGCTCATATAATACTAGTAATTCAATACAACGACGCACGTCTTCCCAACAAATTAAGTTTGAAGAAAATCTAAAAACAAGTAGCTAGCTAGCAATCTTATTACGATAATTATAACCTATGTAGTACTCATAAAAATCAAATTCTAACAACTATTTGAAAATACAGTTTTCTTCAACTTAACAATGAAATGACTGTTGTACAACTGAGTAAAAAGGTGCCCATTATATTGAGTGTATATGCCATTATATAGAGGTAGGACATGTTAATTAATTGAGCAGTGGACAAGAAAGAAAGGACTACTTATCCTTTGTGCCATCATAAATAAATATCTAAACTATTACTCTTTAGTAGTCTGAATTTCAATAATAATCAACCCTCAGAATATCAAAAGCTAATGTTTTCCAACATCTTTTTATCATAAGACAACAAACTTTAATTCATGTCATAGAAAGATACGTCTATCTACCTCTACCAAATGGTTGAAAAGAACGCCAAAAGGACCAACTGATAAGATATATTGTGTTGCCTAGGAATTTAATCTACGGTACCAATAAAAGTTTAAGGTTTAAATATCGGAATCAAAAGGGAAAGTTAGATACTCTGTAATATTTAAATTCACTTGATAAGACCGTAACTAACTAACATAAATCTAAGTTCAATATCATTTATGGAGTACTAATTTTTTGTTCCATTACTTGCGATTTGCTCTTGAAAGTTAGAGGATAAGGAAATTCCTATCCTTAATAAACTTTACTCGATAGGATTTGAACTTTAAACCACTAAGATTTGTTGTAATAACCTTATTGTCAAGTGAATCAACACAAAATCGGCGTTTTTTATTCGGCCCAAAAAGTGTTTGAGGAAACACATGATCTTTAGGTTGACATGGCTTTCTTTGAATGTATGTTCTCCGCACTAAATCCCTATCATCGGGATGAAAATCACACATCCTTCTTTTTTTTCCGGGGTCTTGTGGAAGATTAATAATATCAAGTGCACTTAATCTTCCTTCACCAATTTGAGCACTAGGATCCCAACCACCTTGGGGAAAAGATTGCCCATCTTCATATTGAGGGAAATTGTGAGATGGGGAAGAATGTTGTTCACTAGCATGATGTAAAGGAGTACTTGGTTCACTTTCTTGAGAGGGTAAATCATTTTGTGGAGGAGGATCATTTTGTGG